TTTTCTGCTCATTCATTTCTCTCCTTGTAATATCCAAGCAAGAAAATATAAAACACTCCAAACTAGAATAAAACTATCACCCAAACCATCATATTTACTACCAACATAAATCATATCACCACGATGCATGATGATGATTCTTTTTCTGAGGGTGGTTGACCATTGTTCATACTATGGTCATACTACTAGTGATGCACCAGAACTATCTGACAACAGTGGTGGTGGCCTGCACCCTAACAGTAGGAGCCCCTCCCACCAAGATGACAGTAGTGTTTTCATTGGTGATACTACTACTACTACTACTACTACTACTACTACTACTACTACTACTACTACTACTACTACTACTAGTAAGAGTTCTTTTGGAACAAGTCTTTCTGATGATGCCCCTTACTACTACAACAATGCTCCCTTAACTCCTCATTGACTGTAACCTCTCTAATTCATCTGATCTGGAGCAGGATGAATTGGAACATCTTCTCCAGGACTCCTCAGTTCTCATGAGTCCCACTAACAAAATTCTTCCTGCTGGTACACACATGTGGTCTTTAGATGGTGATAAAAAAGCACATAACAATGACCATGAAGAAGAATGGAACAACAATGTCACTCAGCATCAATCTCCTTGTGTCAGGAATGTTGTCCAATTCTTTGAACAAGTACAAGACACAAGTCCACCCAAGAGGAGAGGAGATCAGCTGGTGTATATAGGATGAGTACTACTAGTACTAGTACTAGTACTAGTACTGACTGCTGGAAGTATTATTCATGATTATCTCCAACAATGGAGAGTGGTTTGGTGGGTTTCATTTGAGGATGTCAAGACTGGTAACAGTCAATTACTGTCAACAAAGCTTGCATCATTACTGTCATGGTGACATGGAATGGCAAGAAGTTGTTGGCTCATGATGCAGAGAAGTGGTCTCCTCCCCCCTCTGCCCAGTATACATCACCTGGAGGAGGTGCAACCCCAGGTCCCACCCATGCTGCAAGGAATACATTGGATGGCTGCACTAATAAAGTGGACAGGTTGGTGCATTTGTTCTTGTTCTTGTTCTTGTTCCTGTTCCTGTTCCTGTTCTTGTTCTTGTTCTTGTTCTTGTTCTTGTTCTTGTTCTTGTTCTTGTTCTTGTTCTTGTTCTTGTTCTTGTTCTTGTTTGATGAAAGAATCCTTCAGCTGATAGCAAATGCATTAAACTATCCAAACCAGATTCAAGATTGCAACAAGCTCAACATAACCCAGTATAAATACCATACTGCCAATACTTTGTCAGACATCCTTGACACATCTTCCAACCAAGATGYGCTTTGCCAATACCACAAAGACCCACAAAATCCACCAGCAATTGGATTGGTCACTCAAGATGGCTCATACTTTGTCCTTTTTGACCTTGGATTGCAAAGCAAAAAGAACTTCTGCACCACAGCAAACAAAATCACAGGCGACACAGCATATGAACTTCACAATTGGTACAGATGCTTCACAGCTCATTGTTTGCAATTCAGAAAATATTGCCACCCTTCCCCATGCTTCTGTCCTAAATGTAACCACCCACATGGATTCAAGTTAGGTGTAAACCAAGAAGATAACCTCCACCCAACCTTAGAGACTAAAACATAAACCGACTCACGAGTGATTTGGGATGTCATCCACACTGTCTTTACCTCCAAAGATAAATATTGTCATATNAAGTGACGTGGCGTCCCTATTCAATAGGAGCTGTTCTCCCTCACCCTCTGGATCATTCTGAGAGCTCTGAATCAGATAGTCTCTGCCCAACAAGCCAAATGCTGAATCAACAACACACTTTGCTCCTCCAGCAAGAGCGCTGTCCACTTCGGCAAGCTTGTTGTAGACTCCATAGTCACTGATGGCGCTGTCATGCCACGTGCCAGGGCAATTGAAGACTCCAATCCAAATCCTACCATCCGGTGCAAAGACAAACACCCCATTCACGTAAGTATTTGCCTTCCATCCGTTGAAGAAGATCTCTTGTTTAAGCCAGTCCTCTGAGGTCTGGATCTCTGTCTTGAGCCCATCTGCTGCTGCCCACACGCGTTGTTCTCCAAGTCTTGGATATTTTGCTCCAATTGCCCTAACATACTCATTGATTTCTTGCTCACTTGGCAGACTGACCATGGCAAGTGGGTGTTTGTGAAGCACTGAAAGGAGGATCCTCATGGAAAACTTGAGCCATTTGTACATCACAGTCAATGTAAGACCAAATGCCATAGCTATTCCCCTTGCAACAGATCCTCTAGTCCTGAACCAGAAGAGCACTAGTCCAAGGCAGCAAGTTGCGTCGGCCTCTCTTGGCTTGCCTTTCTTTTTTCCACTCCTAGTGGGGGGAGGAAGGAGAACAATCTGATTGTTTTTGGTTGAGTATCTGTCGAAAGCTGGAGCAAACAGCTCAAGGAGATCCCTGAAGACCCTGTGGTCCACACCACAGCAGTTGAGGAGTGCTTGCTCACAACCAGACTGGAAGAGGAACAGGAATGGGGAGTCTGAATATCTCCTAATTGCAAGTCGGGGGGTTCTCCTGTCCCTCCTGCGTCTCTCCTCTGGAGTCTTTTGTTTTTCTTCCCATTCCTCTACCAAGCGTCCTCTATGCTTGATTGCCCAGTATATGCAAAGGGTCTCGATGACACCCATTGTTTTGCTGGAAGACAACTACTGTCTTTTGTTTAGGAAAAGC